ATCTGTACTATCTAGTACAAATACTACAACTTTGTACTGTCTCCAAGCATTAGCATCATAATCTAAATCCAGTTACTGCCTGCGGATTATATGAAATGTAATTTTGGAAGCAAGAGTGGCATCCACTTCCTAAACAACATTCAGAAACTCTATGAACTTTGATAAATATCGATAGTTATAGAGGAGCTTCAGACCTTTTGTTCATAGGTTGCTATGAGTCGTGCTCGACTCGAAGGTAATCAATAACAACAACAACAATAATTAATAGTTATGATAAAGCAGATATTAATATAAAATAAAATAGCTAACTTATTGCCATTATTGGTTTAGATTTATGGAGTTAGTCAGCATTTTTATGAACTAAATATGGATGATAAATAAGGAGAAGTTCAGGCCTGTTGTTCTTTATGAACCATATTTGACCAGGGATACCTAATAATAACAACACAGGACTTCTTTAAGGCAAGGATATCACTTTAAAGACTAAGGTGGATGGACCTGCCTAAAGCTATTGTATTTTAAGTTTGCTTCATATGCACATGAAAGGTGTAGTGTTGGAAAAGAATATTAAATACACCATGGACACAAAGAACTCTGGTAGCCTAGTGGGTAAGGAGTTGTGCTGCCTATCTAAAGGCATGCAGTTCATCAGTTGCTCAAATGGAAGGAATCTGGGCAGCCTCCTCTCATGTGATTTATAGCATCTGAAAACTTTCTGGAGGGTCAGATATGAGCCAATTTCCACTTGATAGCACATAACAAAAACAACAGGAATAAAAACAAATTTATCTTGAAAGAAGTGCTTATTAGACTTTGTCTCACATACTTTGGGAGTATTATCAGGAGGGCCAGTCCTTAGGAAAAGAACATGCTTTAAAAAGTTGAGAATCAGCAAAGGAGAGGAAGACCTTCACTAGGAGATTGACACAGCTTCTGCCCTAACAAATTTTCAGGATGGTGTCAGATTGGACAGAGATTCGTTCTGTTGTACATCGGACTGTTAGGAGTTGGAGCTGACTTGACAGCATCTAGCAAGGTTTGAAATGGACCTGTGGTTGTGGTGGAAAATACCCAGGGGCCTGGCCATTCCCTCTGCTCACTTTGGCTAACATCAATGAATCTCTTTTAACCATCAGCAGTCACACTCTCAATCTTGACTGTTTCTGTTGGTTGAGCATTAATAACTATAATAGTATGTGTCGTCAGTTCAGATGTAACCATGGACACATAGTATGGAACCTTCTGATTATCAGCATAGTATATATCAAGTGGTCTCAATACTGGTTTGGAATCATGACATTCTTTTATCACATTAGCAACTGAAGTTCTTAAGTGGTGACCAAGAAAGACTTGTCTTATAGCAAATTTTCTTTTATAAACAAGGAATGATTACTACTAGGGGGAGGATTTTTTGTTTGTTTGTTTTTACTTGAGCCTCTGAGTGCCTAATTCTTCTCATCATCACAATCTCTCCTGTGGTTAAGCCCATTGTGTCATAGTGTCAATCATTTCATTGAAGATCTTCCTCTTTTTTTCATGACCCTGTACTTTCACAAGCATGATGTGCTCCTCAAGAATTGGCTTTTTCTTTTCTTTCTTTCTCTTTTTTTCTGTGTATTGTTGAATCAGATTCAGCTGGCACAGAAGGATATTGCTTCTCCTTCTCCAGTGGAGCCTCTAGAGGATTCGAATCACATGCCTTTGGGATTGCAGTGCACCTTCTTGCCACTAGGCCACCAGAGCTCCCTTAGATGGAGGTTTAATGATGCTTACCCACATTTTCTCCACCCCACATGAATTTTCATATCATACTTTGAAAGTACCTTCTTGGTCTTCTTGCTGATATGACACGGGATTGAAGGAGCTGAAGAGTGAGAGCCCTTATAAAGGAGGAGAAGTTGAGGGCTGAAGCAGTTAAGCGAGCTAGCAGTGGTCACTCAGCTCACGCCCACAGAGGCAGAGAAGTTCCAGGAAAGCACTGGGGAAAAAAATTTACTAGAAAAACAAGGCATATATTTAATAAATGGGTAACCCAATTATACTCCACTGTTTATCCCATCCTGGATCAAAATAATTTTCTCAGCATTAAAGTCACCCTTTGTTTTGAGACTTAGAAGCAAGTTGTCGGGATCCACGGTTGGGGGTGTGGAGCCAGGGGAGAAGGGGTGCCCTGTGGAAGTTATTGTGAAAGCAATGAAGGCCGAGGCATAAGAAGTTACTCTAATTACTTCTCTCAGTAAAGGGCCAGTGGAAATAGTCTCAATACCTTCCTTTCAATCGAATACAGTAATATTCTCAATGCAGGCAAGTTGTAAAATTGTTTTAAGTGACTATATTTATAGGTGTTCAGTGGAACTTACTCTCGATTCACAGCAAAAAGAGCTTCTCTTTGTGACACCGGCTTAGCTGTGTGAGTAATGGTGATGTAAGGAGCGTTTACATTTTTAAAATGGTTTTGCTTTTAAATATCTGACAGGCAGTGTTAGCTAAGGCAAATATTTTCACTTCATGTTTCAGAGAAGGGTTAGTGTACATATATTTGTCTAAAAAATATATGTGATGTATGTTGGGGTTTGGGGGAGAAGATGTACAAAGTAGAAGTTAATTGTGGCTGTATGCAGGGAAGGGTAACTGAATAGAAGCAGTTCTTCATCTTTTCAGGGCACACACAGGTTGTTGGGGAGTCCTGGGATCATCCTCATGTGACATTATTTTTTTCTTTTAAAATTGTTTTATTAGAAAAATCAAGGTTTTCTCTCAATTCTTTAAAGTTATTACACTTCTGTGGTTTTGGTTGCCTCCTTTTTAACAAGAAGCCTGCTGTCATTCACATTTCTTTCTGTTATAATGGGATTTTCTCCTTCTTGCTAGTTTTATCTACTTATCACTGATTGTCAGGAATTTTTGTATTATGTAACTTTGTGTGGTGTTATTTATTATTGTGGGTTGGTTATGGTTAATTAAATTTCCTTAAGCTTTGGGTTTATAGATTTTTTTTCTCATTTTGGTAAATTTTCAGCCTGTATTTCTTTTTTTAAAAAAATAAATTTTTTTATGATGGGTGAGAGGTGAGGGAAATTGAAAGAATTTATTAGAATTTGTATTAGAATTTTGTAAATAAACTAATGGAAAGGAAAAAAGTCAGCTTGGGGGGGAGGAGCGAGAGGAGGTAAAATGTGCAACAATGAGGGAATGAAAATCTAAGTTTTCTGTAAACTTTTGTGGCATTATTTTAAGGAAGCAAGTTGTTTTCTGTGCTCAGGTGAAAAGCTACAGGTTTTAGTGCTTTAATACAGCCCTAGGGAGCTCTGGTGGTATAGTCTGTAAGGACTTAATCCAAAGATGGTGTCTCTTTTAGGGGTTCAAATCCACTAGCTGCTCTGCAAGAGAAAAATGGGTAATCTCGTGTGATTTACAACTTCTGAAAACCCACTGGAAAGTCGATTGTGAGACATTTCTGACTTGACAGCAATGAGTTTTTTAATTTGGTTTTGTTTTATTGACACCCTTGATTCATCAACTGGACCGTGAACTTACATCAACTCTACAAATAGACTAAATGTATGACTTAAAAATTATTTTGAAAATGTAATTCAAGTTTACATAGTACTTCTTAAGGTATTTGGTAAAATAAAATATTACGATACAGACTGGTAACTGTAGAGCCGTACGTACTACTGTACTCCTACTGGCTTTTGGCGGCTTTGGCAAAGAGAATTTTTATTATCCTCAAGGTTAGCCTAATATACTCACCTTAGGCCTTAACTGCAATATAGGAAATGACCACACTGTATTTCACAGAGTTTTTTTCCTCCTGAAAAGCAACTTTATTCCAGATAACTTATCTAGAGGAGCAGCTGTATCCTAACATTTATTCAGCTTATAAAATCAGATTAACAAAATGTCAAATGTAATGTTTCTGGAATTTTGCTGTTTTGTGTTGATTTTCATATAATAGTGATAACTTTTTTTTTAAGTGTCAAGCGTACTGTATTCAAATATATTAGTGGTAACTTTTATTGCGTCTTCATGAAATACTGAAAAGAAAACAGATTTTTAAAATTTTTTTTTCATTTTTCTACTAGTTTATTTACAAAATTCAAGTACAAATTTGAACAAATTCTTTCCATTTCCCTCACCCCCTCACCCATCAAATTGTACAGCCCAATGGTTAATCCCCCCTTTCCCCTGCACATCCTCATCCCTCTGCTTTCAACTTCTCCTACCCCTCCTGGATCCTTATACTCATTCTACAATAACGGTTTAGTGGACCACTAGAATAATTTGGTAAGACAACCCTAGTGCTATTTTGAATATCTCACTGACAGCACAATGACTGGGTTCATTCTTTGCTAGGTCACTCAACTTGATCCCCACGCTGATGGTTAATGGTCCTGCCCCATTCTCTTGCTGTTCTAAGTAGCCAATCTCAAAGGTTTTCCGTGTGACTAAAAGGCGTTACGGAGGATTTAAAAAAAAATAACACCTGAGAATAATTTTGCCTCAAAATTTTTCTGCTTAGATGAGAATCTATCTAAGTACTAGCTCCCACTGGATGGTTTTTCATGTGCAAGGCTTCCGCTGGGACATCTCCAAGAATTTTTCTTTCTCAAAGTTAATATGCACCAGAGGAAGCACAGTAGGAACTCAGACTGCAGGAGGCCTGATGAGCAAGGCAGGACCATGGGTTGAGAGAAAAACACTTATTTCCTTTTTATTGTGATTTGAGTGAACATTTATAAAATAAATGGGTTTACTATCCAATCATCTATACACATTTTGTTTTAGAATATTAATTACAATACTTACAATGTAATTGCACTCATCCCGTTCCCTTTCTGTGATTCTAGCTTCCATTAAGCCTTCCAGCCTAACCTTTTCTACTTAATTTGGAAACTGAGGAGGAAGGGGAAGCAATAACTTTTCTTTTGTTCCTCAGGTAGTGACAGAAGATATTAATGGTTTCTGTCTTCCTTCCTCCCTCTCCTCTGACCCTTCAGATATATGAGGAATCCAAGATGAATTTGGAGCAGGAGAGGCCATTTGTCTGCAGTGCTCCAGGCTGCTCCCAGGTGAGTTTGAGGATCCCTGGCTGGCAGTGCTCCAATCACCCACTTGGAAGCACTTTCTCCTCTTGCAGCCCTGCCTCCTGTGGGCAGCTCTTCTTTAGCAAGATAATCCTTACCACAATCTCTGTAAGCAATCCCATCTTCAGCATTATGGTCATTTTCCCATTTGAATAGTTTGAGCTACTTCTGGTCCAGCCCCTCAGATAGGGCTGCATTGGCCATTTCCATACAGGTATCTCCCTGCCGGAAGCTAGTCCAGCTCATCCTGCCCACCAATGGGGAGGGCTGTTGTTTCAGAAAGGGGAAGGGAGGTGGCTTGCTTTTACAATGACTGTTTGAATGCTGGACATTGGATTGTTGGTAAACTCTTTTACTGTCATAGATTGAATTTTAATGTGTTGTTTTCCTCATTAGAGTAATAGAAGATTTAGTGGTAGTTCAAAACTGAGATGCTCACCTCTCAGGCAGAAGACTCTGCCAGTGTACCTCATGTGCACCCACTACCCAACTGTCAGTGGAGGCTTGCAGATTTGATGATGCTCAACAGGTTCCAATGATTCATTCTTAAAAATTGGCTGGTAGAAACCTAGTGGAGCATAGAGTTCTTTTTCCTAAGTGTTGTAAGTCAGGGGCTGACTCCATTTCAGCTAACAACACTACAACATTTGTACAGCCCACAGATTTCCCATTTATCTGAACTCTTGAGGGAATATTGGCCTTCTGTACTGGATTAAACTTGTCAGCCTTCAATGACACTCATCACATGGAATTGTGAAGATTAGATGACATAATGCCCTTACAGAGTTTTGTATAGATAGGGCTTGTGCTCAATTAATGTGTTACTGTTGCTAATGCTGCTGCCACTACTGTACTCGAACCTGACTCTTCAAATGACATTGAAAATACCCATCACCTAAAATCCAGGTTATTGTTTTATCTATAGAACCCAACAGTGACTTTGTCTATGTTTGACTCTCACATTATCTTCCCATTTCAGTTTTTGTAAAATTGAAGCAAATAACTGCACGAGGCCACTCTCGTGCCAAGATCTTTAGCTTAGAGTTCAGAGCACAGGTATGTTTCTGATGTGGGCAGTTAGGATCTCTTTCTCTAAGTTACCCAGTCATTTAAAGAAGAGTAAAGTCACACTCTCCTGAATGTCTGTGTAGTGGGATCAGCAGGACAGTGTGGAACAATCTAGGAGTCATTGAAAAGGCTTGACCTACAACACTTAGGAACAACCCTCCCCTTAAGAGGGTTTGTGGAGGTCCAAGGAACCTTCTGGAAGGAATATGCCACCAGAATATTAGACATCATAGTTGATGTCCTGTTGTTACCAGCAGCTAATGGAACCAGTAGAATTCTTTGCTCATGTCCCAGCAGGTTCAAGAGGTGCTTTTGTATGAATGTTTATTTGTAGTTTGGAGGTAATTTTGAAATAAGAAATACAGGAAGATTGATAAGTAAGTTGGAAAAATCCTGTTCAACCAAGATTAGCCATTGTGAATGCAGAAAACAGCTTTATATCACTGAGAAATTATGGATTTACACCCAGTTTCTTCAAAGAGAAGCCTCTACAACTAAAGAGAATCCAATAATTTGAGCAGTGTGCTTTCCATTTCAAGTGTAATGTTACATTTTAATAATCCAAGTGACCCAGCAGACTTTTGGGGAGTTTACTTGATGCCAGGCATTGTGGTTGCCCTTGAGAAGGAACAATATACAAGACAGATATATCCAGTCCTCATGGAGCTTCTTATCCACACATCAAACATGCAACCATCTGATTAATTAATAAATTAGTCAAGAACACTTTTCCATAAAGAAAGGAGCACCAGTCATCTTGCCAGAGTATCATAAAAAAGAAACACAATATATATAAATATTTATAAGCAGAACAATTTAAAAAATTAACATAAAATAGAATGTGTATGAAGGATTGTATGAAACACAATGTCAATGAAAGATTGTAAAAAAACACCACATATATGAATGAAACATAATATAAAGGAATTATTATATGAAAACCAGTAAAAATATAAAAAAAACCAAACCTAGAATTCCCAAGTCTGTTACACAGTTGGTTCCAACTCCTATAGTCACTCTAAGAAAGAGTAGAATTCCTCTCATAGGGTTCAAGTTTACAAGACTATAATATTTTGTGGAAGTAGGATGCCACATCTCTCTCTGATGGAGCTTCTGGTGGGTTCAAAGCATATACATTTCAGTTAGCAGCCAATGTTTAACCACTGCTCTACCAGGGCTCTTTAAGAGTATGTTGTCGCTGTTGTTAAGTGCCGTCAAGTTGTAGGCGACTCATAATGACTCTATGAACGAAAGTCTTCGACACTTGCATGTGAGACTTACCGTGTTTGACTCATCAGTGTCACAGAAAGAGTATATCAAAAACCCATTGCCATCAATCAAGCCAACTTCTGTAAGAATATTGTAGAGAGATTTGTTTTATTTGGAGAAATGAAGGAATGAGGAATAAGGAGGTGATATGTACAGGTATCTCCAAGAGTCCAAGTGAGTTAAGGTGCCTAGCAGTGTCAAAGTTATGACTGACAATAGAAACCACTTCAAGAAAGAATTTATGCTCCTATTTAGTACTTATAAGGCAGAGAAAAGGCACTGTAGACAGGCTAGTGGACTGTATGGCAGAGTTTTTTTAGCCTTGACAATATTTGGGGGTAGGCAATTATTTCTCCATGGTGACAGAGGACTATCCTGTGCATTGAGAGGTGTATAGCAGCATTCTTGGCTTTTACCCACTAGTTGCCAACAATACTCCCAAATTGTGACAATCAAAAATGTTTCTGGACATTGCCAAATGTCCCCCAGATGGTAAAATGATAAAATCACATACCAGTTGAAAACTACTGTTCTAGAGGTTGTCTCTCTCTCTCTCTCTCTTTCTCTCTCTCTCTCTTTGCTAGTGTCTCCTCTTCTTTGTTTTTCTGTTTAGGGATCCTTCTAACCAATGCTCTTATTTTTGTATTCCTATAAGACATCTTAACTCCTTTTTGGCACCAAGCAGGATATAAATAAACAAATGCCACCGAGGTGTGGTCACCGGTGTCAGATGCTCTGGAGCGGGGGCAGAGTGAAGGCTGAGCTGGAGCTGTTGGACTTGGCAGTGAGGTGCTCCCTGGCAGCCTATGAGAGGGGAGCAGGGGTGGAGGCCAGATCACAAGGGATTAGCGGATGAGTGGGTGGCAGGAAGTGGAGGTGGAAAGTATAGAGGACTCTTTCAAGAACGTTAGGCCGTGAAAGGAAGCAGAGTGATCTAATGGTAGCTTGAGGAGGAAGCAGTTTAGGAGAGACACTTTTTAAATTGAGGAGTAGCTGTATGTAGTCAAATTCAAGAAGCCAGTCAGAGAGAAAGAGAATGCTAGCATGTAGGACTACAGCGGAATAGAAACTTCCAGAAAACAAGGAAACCAGAGGATCCTGTGGAGAAGTGAGAGTTCTTCTTTCTGAGACATATTGGAATAAGAAGATAAATCCAAGTGGAGGTGGTGAGAATGGTTGAAGACGTATGTTTCAAACGACCTTGAACTTCTCAGTGAAAGACCTGATCATATTCCTGAGAGGCTTTATGGACAAAAAAAACTTGGATAAAAAGTTGGGAATTACATCTTGCATCTTGACTTCATGGTATAATTCCAGGCTACCCCCAGCACACATTTAGTGATGGAGAAGCATAATTTCTTTCCATATTTATTGTGAAGTGTTTCAAGGAAATGTGGTAGCTGCTCAGTACCAAAGGTCTGCTGGGGTATTAGGAGTTAACGATTGGGTTGACCACCATGATCATGACATTGAGTTTAACATCAGTTGTAGCCTGAGAACCTGCGTGAGGAGAAAGGTGAAAAGGGAACTAAATGTGAAGTGCTTGAATCAAGTTGAGGCTTTGAAAGGATTGTCTTCCTTTTTCTGTCATTCAAAAGAGACTTGATTATACTATTAACAGTCTGTGATATTTGGGAAACTTTTAAATTTTTTAAAAATTTTATTATTGTTTTGTGTGTGTACCGTCAAATGGGATCTGACTGGTACTGAAGGAGATTGCCACTCCTCCAGCAGACCATCTGGTGGATTTGAACCGTGTACCTCTGGGACCGCTAGACCACCAGAGCTCCCTGGGAAACTTTTTTTTATAAGACAGTTTCTTAGACATCTTTGTCTCAGAAATAAAGAGAACCAAGCTTCTCTTGCTCTTTTTAATATCAGAGCCCAGTCCTAATGTCATTGTTTCTTTTTTCCATTAACAATATTTTGGCCAGTAGCCTCAGTAAGCTCTGTATTTCCTGTAAATGCTACATTTTTGTTATTTACAGTTTGCTATTTTTTATACCTAATTATTTATTTTTTATAAAAATCATTGTTGTCCTGTATTGTCCCTTTTAGATGATATAGGTTAATATTGAAAACTATTAATATTTTTATTATTTAATAAGTCCTCTGGCCACCTTTAGAACGTATTTTTGTGAAGCTCAAAACAGTTTACTGATACGGAATGAAGGAGGCTACCATACTATTTGTTGTTATATATAATTTTAATAAGGATTTGACAAAAAGACGAAAATTTGATCTATGCCTTTTATAGTTCAGAGTTGTACCACTTATTTGATGCATTCATTGTACGACAGTAGAGAACATCAAGAAAGTAGGTGAAGCAGCAGCAAAAGACCACTTACCATCATAAAGTAGACATCTATGTATTTAGAAACCTAGCATAATTGTTGTTTTTTATTAAGTGTCATCAAATCGAATATGACTCATAGTGACCCTGTGAACAAAAGATCTGATCCTACTCCTGTTCTGTACCATCCTCACCCTTCCTGACACACAAGAGCTCATTGCATCAGTTAACCATGTCAGTCCACCTGGTTAAGGTTCTTCCTCTCCATTGCTGACCCTTCAACCTTCCCAACATTGTGTCTCTTTCCAAGGGATAGTACCTCCTAGCAATATGTCCAAAGTATGTTAGGCAAAGCCTCATCAATCTTGCCTCCAAAGAACACTCCGGCTGCATCCTCTTCAAGACATAGCTGTTTATTCTCTTGACCAACCATAAGAGGTTCAGTGTTCTTCTCCAACACCACAGCTCAAAGGCATAAATTCTTTTTCTGTCATCCTTATTCATTGTCCAGGTCTCAGATGCATAACAAGTATTTGGAAAGACCACGGCCTGAAATCAGACGCACCTTATGATTTGGAAAGATCCCTAATTGCAGATTTTCCCAGTGCAATATGTCTCCTTATTTCCTGACTGCTCGTATCAAGGGTGTTAACTGGAGATCCAAGCAAGATGAGGCTGTTGACAGTTTCAATCTCCTCTCCATCCATCATGACACTGCTTGTCGGTCCAGAAAATAAAAATAAGTCCGCAGGAACAAAGCTACGATCTTAAATCAATTCCATGTGAATTTCATGATCATCTTAAGAATAGGTTTGAGGCATTGAACACCAATGATAGAAGACCAGATGAGTTGTGGGATGATATCAAGGATATTATCCATGAAGAAAGCAAAAGATCATTACAAAAACAGAGGAGAAAGAAAAAAATAGAAATAGATGTCAGAAGAGATTGCACTGGAATAATTATTTTTGTGATTTTTTTTGAGGTGTAAGGGAGTAAATTTTATACTTTCTAAGTTATATGATTTAAATGACAAGTAAACATGTACTGTTTAAGTTGAACTTTTACAATAACCCATGGACTCAGTCCAACAAATAAATGCCTTTATTCTCATGAACACGAAATTATGCTCTTTTCAGAAAACAATTTTTACCATGTTACATAATGGTTATTGAAGCTTATAATAACTCTCCTGGGAAACCAGGACATCCCAGAAGGTCTTTTGAACTATGAAAGAAATATTTATAAATGTTTTGTATAATTTGTCACCTTTCGTTTGACTTTGGTATAGTAGATAGTCCAGTAAATTAGCTTATCAAAAGCATGCCAATCTGAGTCAGAAGAGGAAAGGATGTTCTGCAGTAACAAATTAACTCAAAGCTTCATTGGTTTAAATAGCAACCGTTTATTTCTATCCGCCAATAATACATTTCTGTGATAGATTGACAAGAGGAGGCTGCTTTTGATAATCCTTCAGCAACCTAGGATAATGAAGTAGTCACTATTTCCAGTAATGCAAGTCACCCTGGGGAAGTGGGTAGGCTAGAGAGTCTGTGATCAGGAATTAAATGTTCTTACCTTAATGATATGTCCTTTGTTTTTCATAATTCAGTGGGCAGAACTAGTCCACATGAGGGTCAGAAAATACAATCCTATCATGTAACCAAAAGTCAGACAACTGAAATATTTGTAGTATTTGTGACAATTATAAGTTTATGGAAATTAAAAATAATGACTTAGTCCACTGTACAGAGTATAGAATACTAAAAATAATCCTGTATATTAAAAAAACCCCAGAAAATGGCTCTTCAAGCTCTTCTTAAATGTAAACGTACTATGTGAAGATAATAGAACACATCTGTAGAGATATATATGCTAAATAATTAAACATAGCATATAATTCGACCCCAAATCTGACATGGATAAATTTTTTTACCATTTCATCCATTTCTCCTACTTTTGTTTAATCTATAGATAATGTCTAGCATACTTCTCATGCTTTGCATTTAATTTTGCTTTGTTATGTTAAATAGCAAAAACTAGAGAAAAATTCCAAATGTATTTTTTTTAAGGTTCTACTGTTATTCAGGTCCAGACTCACTGTCCTGTTTCGAACCTGGATTTCTCATATAAAAAAGAGAGAATTTTGTTTTGTCATTGTTAAGTCTTCCTGGTGACCATAAATAAGATTTATTTAAGCAAGTTGAGAAGAATGGGAATCCCAGGACACTTAATTGTATTCATGTGAAATCTTTACCTGGACCAATATCCTGTTGTCCAAACAGAGCAAGGGAACACTGCACAGTTTAAAAAAAAATAAAGAAAAGTGTGCGTCTTAAAGAGGGTAATAATATCCTTTCTCCACACGTCTGCAGTCTGAATGTTAAGTAGATCATTCGAGGAGCTCCTCTTTATGAAGAAGAATGTAGTATCAAGAGCTGAGTAAGATTCATCAGCAACTTGCATTATTTAGATAACAAATCCTTACTGGCTGAAAGTGAGGAGCACTGGAATTGCTGGTTTCAGAAGATCAAGGACTACTATGTTCTTTGTGGATTACAGGTCAACATCAAGTAAACAGAAATTCTCACCACTAAGCCAGTAGCAACATCATGATAGATGGAGAAAAGATTGATGTTGCCAATTATTTCGTCTGACTTGGATCCACAGTCAGCATTCTTGGTACCAGCAGTAAAGAAGTTCGAAGGTGTGTGGCTTTGGGAAAATCTGCTGTAGCAAAGGGCTCAAGTCTATCAGAGATGATGAAGACGGCACAGGATGGGGCAAGGCTGGCTCAAATCCATTGTTCATAAGTTTCCTATGAGTTATAGCTGACTTGACAGGACCTAACAACAACACAACATTGTTAAGTACTAGGCCAGAACATATTCTGGATGTGTATGTTATTTTAAAAGGAGCCCTGAAGGTGTTGTGCATTACATGAAGCTGCTAGTGGAAAGGTTGGAGTATGGAGTTCACCAAGTGCTCTGTGTGAGAATGCTGAGCTTTCTTCTCCCATAAAGATTTACAGGCTTTAGGTTTCATACATTCTTATACACTCAATTTTACATTATTTTTTATACTAGTTTATTTACAAAATTTGATTACATTGTTTATTCACACCAGATTCTTTGTAACACAATGTAAATGAAAGATTATCTAAAACATAATGTATATAAATGAAGCATACTGTAAAGGTTATTATTATATGAAAATCAAGAACGAATATTTAAAAAAGATTTACAGTCTTGACAAGCTGCTGGAGGCTCACTGGGAGATGGAATAGACCTGATGACAGTGGGTTATGCTATTTTAATACTTTTAGCTACTGTTCTTGGTGGTGGTGTGGAAGAAGGAACTGGCCACTTGTGTCTGTAAGATAGTCATTGAAAACCCAGGGGAGTGCCATTCTATTCTGATACACCTGGGATCGCCACAAGTTAAACTCATTTTAATCCAGTTTGAGGGTTTAGTCCCTCCAATAATGAAACAGCCTTTCAAAGCTGTTCCCAGGGAAAGCGTAATGATGAAAGACAAAGATCTCCGATTATTTCTTAGTATTCAGCTAGATATTTCTGCAACATGAGATAGCACTTTAGTAAACTCAAAGGAAGAGCCTATTGTATTTTGCTGACATAAAATAGCTTTTAACTAACTCATGCTTCCACACATCTTCAGAACCGATTTTCTGTTTTGCTGGTCAGGTTTTCAGTACTGCATATTTTTTCCCTATGGTGGCAAATATGTATTACAAAACTGAATGCCTCTTTTCTCCTTTGCCTTCCCCCCCCCCTCTCTTTGTTGAACAGCGCTTCCCAACAGAGGACCACCTGATGATTCATAGGCACAAGCATGAAATGACTTTGAAGTTTCCCTCAATAAAAACAGATAATATGTTATCAGGTAAGGAGCCATCAGGTAAAGAGGCTTTGGGGAATCAGACCAGTCACTGTGAGAGATTTGTTTTTCTGGCAAATCCTGCCCCTTGAAAATACACGTTCTGAGGATATAACAGAAAGTTAAAATAATATATCACAGAAATGTAATCAGCTAATGTAAGATTCACCTAAATAGTTGAAGAACTAAGACTTCTCATTTTCTAGAATGTGAACATTTATTATCATGAAATTTGGCTATCTTTATGTGTTTTTTTAAAAAGTCACATACCTATAACCACTCAAATAACAGCTACTCGTTGAGCATCTGTAGTGTACATTGCACTGTCCTGAGGGCCATGGGAGATGTATAAATTGAGGATTCTTACACATAGTGTACATTTGAAAGCTTAATTAAAGAACATAATTAAGTTCCATATATGTTACTATTGTTGTTGTTATGTGTGGTTGAGTCGCCTACACTCATAGCGACCCTACGTACAATAGCTCTAAATCCTACTCTATCCTGTGCCAATCTCATTGTCTCCGACACATACGCCCCACCTCCCCCATTACTCCAGTCACTGAATCAGTTCATCTCATTGAGGATATTCCTTTCCTGCGCTGTCCCTCCACCCTTCCAAGCATGATCTCCCTCTCAAGGACTGATCCTGCCTTGCAAGATGTTCAAAATATGTCAGATGAAGCTTCAGAATCCTTGCCTCCAAGAAGCAACCTGGTTTCACTCTGTCCTGGATGAACCTATTTGTTCTCTTAGCAGTCTATGCTATATTCAATACTCTTTTCCAGCACCACGGCTCAAAGGCATCAATTCTCCTTCTATCGTCCCTAGTCATTGTCCAGCTCTCTGATGCATATTAAGTGATTGCAAAGACCAAGGCCTGTATCAGGCCCACATTAGTTTCCAGACTGACTTCATTGCTCTTCAGTACTTTGGAGAGGTCTCTGACAGCTGACTTTACCAATGCAATTCGTCTTTTAATATGTTATTATGTATTATACTATTGTTGTTATATGCCATTCAGTCTCCTGCAACTCATAGAGACCCTATGTACAACAGATCTGAACCTTACTCTATCCTGGGCCAATCTCACTGTCTCTGACACACCTACCCCAGTTACTAAGTGAAACCATCTCATCCAGGGTCTTCCTCTCCTGTGCACAGTCCCTCTACCCTTTCACATATGATGCCCTTCTCCAAGCACTGGTTTCTACTGGCAATACCGAAAGTATGTAAGACAGAGCCTTAAAATCCTTACTCTAAGAAACAGCTTGGTTTCACCCAGGACAGACCTGTTCGTTCTCTTGGCAGTCCATAGTATGTTTAGTACTCTTTTCTAGCACCACAACTCAAAGACATCAATTCTTCTTCTTTCCTCTTTTGTCATTGTCCAGCTCCCTGATGCATAACAGAAAATTGCAAAGACCATAGACTAGATCAGGCACACTTTAGTCTCTAAACTGATGGAATTGCTCTTTAACACTCTGGAGAAATCCCTGACAGCAGATTTTCCTAATGTAATTCATCTTTGATTTTACACACACACACACACACACACACACACACACACACACACACACAAAAAAAATTTCAGCCATTTCTTTTTTTCCTTCTGGACCATTTCAACCCATATTACAGATTAGTTGTTGTTGTTGTTACATGCTGTCTCTGATACGCCTACCCCCATTACCCCAGTCACTGAATCAATCTATCTCAAAGGTCTTCCTCTCCTGCACTGTCCCTCCACCCTCCTAAGCATGAGGTTCCTCTCCAAGGACTGATCCCACCTTGCAACATATCCAATGTATGTCAGAAGAAGCTTCAGAATCCTTGCCTCCAAGGAGCAGCCTGGTTTCACCCTCTTCAGGAAGAACCTGTTTGTTCTCTTAGCAGTCTATGATATATTCAATACTCTTCTCCAACACCATAGCTCAAAGATATCAATTCCCCTTCTATAATCCCTAGTCATTGTCCAGCTCTCTGATGCATAGCAAGTGATTGAAAAGACCTGTATCAGATGCACCTTTTTCCCAGAGTGACATCGTTACTCTTCAGTACACCTGGTGTGGCTCTGGCAGCAGCTATTCCAGTGCAATACATCTTTTAATTTCCTGGCTGCTGGTGCCAAGAGTGTTGATTGTGGAGCCAAGCAAACTAAAGCTGTTGATAATCTCAATCTCTTCACCATCTATCATGGTGCTGCCAGTCAGCCCAGTTGTGAGACTCTTTGTGTTCTTGATGTTGAGCTTCAATCCATATTGATGGTTATAGTCCTTGACCTTCTGCAGCAAATGCCTCAGGTCCGCCTCAATTTCAGTAAGCAGGGTTGTGTCGTCTGCATAATGCGTGTTTTTCCTCCAATCCTGATGCCACATTCTTCCTCATAGAGCCCAGCCTCCAGGATGATCTGTCCCACATATAGATGGAAAAGGTGTGGAGATAGAATGCATCCCTGATATATACCTTTGCTGATTTGAACCATGCAGTGTTTCCTTGCTCTCTTCTGATGACTGCTTGTTGGTACAAGTATAGGTTTTGCATAGGACAATCAAGTGTTCTAGATTCTCATTTTCAGCATTAGCCACAGTTTTTTGTGATCCACACAGTCAAATACCTGTGTGTGTGTGTGTGTGTGTGTACACTGTTATTGTGGGATGTTTAGTTGGAGTCTACCCATAGCTTATCCTCCAGAGAGGCTGTAACTTCATGGGAGGTAATTACTCATCTATCTCATGCAGAACAGCTTGTGTATTTGAGCTGCATGTCTTTGAAAATTGCAGCATAGTCTCTTACCATTACACAACCAGAGCTCGATATGCTTTAAAAATTCTATAGAACGTGCCCTCTTTCTGGACTGTGGTGGTTGGTAGGAGTTTTTTAAAGAAATAGCCTGTATGTCTATATTTTAAGGGGAAAATGGAATGAAATAATGCATGGAAATGTAGTGAGCACTTAGCAAATTGAGCAGAAATAAGTAACAATAATTAATTTGTTGTCCTTCCTTCTCATTTTGAGAGACAGCAATTTAGAATGCAGGCAGGGCTAGGACTGAGGAAACCTCAGCTCCTGCTGGAACCCTGCTTTCACTGGCTGTGATGAACTTGGACAAGTGTGGCATCTTTCTGGGCCCCATACAGTGGATATGAGGTCGTCTGTCCTAAGAAGCTGTGATAATATGCTATGTTACCTGCTCTGCTATTGATAATATCTTCAGTTTGAAAAGAGAAATGTGGAAAGATGCTGCTTTGAAGGAACAAGATGGATGGGAAGTTTCCTCCTATAAAGATTTACAGCCTCAGAACCTCAATGGGCAGTCACCATATGCTGGAACTGACTCAAAGGCAGTGGGTTTAGATCTGTTTTTGGGGTAATGAAGCATTTTCTTTTATCCTTGTTAGCCTAGAAAGATTTCATCTGAGCTACTGTCTCCCTGGCATTTTCAAAGGGGTAATGTGCCCATTAACATGTTTTAAATGATATCAGAAGAGGAATGGGCTGTTCTGGCAGGTCTGACTCATAATTTAACATTTCTATGACACTTTAATTTTACAAGTATTTTTATTATCACTATTATTAGTAAATCCTCCAAGAGGTTTGTCAGACAGGTTATTATTGCAGCCCATATTTTATTGATAAAGGGAGAGGGCCATGGAGAGAAGACACCTTTTCCCCTGGCTCACTGAACAGGGCAAGGATGAAAGCCCTTCATCCTGTGAGCTAAACCCACTGACTTGCACTCGGCTACCGAGGTGTCAGGCTTTGCCAGCTCATATATACAGTCACAGAGTCCTGGTGACAGATCCATCCACACGTCTTCACAGATCCACCAGCGGCTTGTTAATAGGGTGGACGTGCTGTGGTTTGGACAACTCTCGAAGTCATTCTCTTCTGTTCTCAACCCTCAACCTCTCCCTCAGCTTTTGTTTGCTTTTACTAAACTCACTGGCTCTTCAGAAATAGTTTTGTCTTTCCTTAAGGCTATAAACAGAGACACAGAAGCTCAGAATCATGAAAGACTACAAAAACCCTAGAAGGCCGAACCAACACCATCCTTCAGTATGCTGTTCTGTAGTAACTTCAGTGCAGCTGTGAGGCCGAAAATGATATCACCATTATTTTAAATACCAGCCAGTTCCCCAATGGTGGACAGGGTTCATGGTACTTCTAGACAAGGCAGATTTAGAAGAAAGACCTGAGAAACGCCTTCTGAAGATTAACCAGTGAAAACCTTATGGAGAACAATAGGATACTGTACAATATAGTGCTCGAAGATGAGCACACAGCCAAGATCTAGAAGATGGCAAAGAACAAGGCAACATTTTGTTTTGTTACACATAAGGTCACTATGTGTAGTAGCTGAATCCATAGCAACTAACAATAACATCAATAAGAAGACTTAAAAACAATAGCTATCCCCCCTATTGTTCTTATTATCATTATTAAGGGTGGTATTGCCAACTCAACTGCAGGCAGTTTGAATTCACCTGCTGTTCCTCTAGAGAAAGATGGGCAGTTTCCTCCCACGTGATTTACAGCCTCTGAAAATCCACCAGGGCATCAGCTCTCAATCCACGCTGATTCAACAGGAGTGAGTTTGAGTTGAGTTTATCATTACTCTGTTTTGTGGAGTCACACACAGTGTAAATCAATAGTTCAACAATGAAGTATACACACATAAAAGTCAACACAATAGACTTTTAAAACCCATTATCTAAGTTAATACATTTCACCTTTTATCTTTTCTCAAATAGAATTCCTTAACTAGGATTTCTAGTGGGAGGGGAGTGGGAGGTAAATTTTAGGGGATAGTAGGTACTTGGAGATATCACTGTTATCATGCTAGTATACAGGGAGCTCTGGTGGCCTAGTGTTAAGAAGCTGCCTCACAATCCAGCAGGCATGTGGTTCAAATCTACCAACTGCTCTGTGGGACAAAGATGGACAATCTCTGTGAAATTTATTCTTTCTGAAAACCTGCTGGAGCATCAGCTATGGATTGTTTCCGT